TCACTTGTGAGAATTACTAATTGTTTTTAAAGACCCTTTGAATGTCTGTGAGCAGCTTCCATACATACTGAGAGATAGTGGTGGCATATACAGTACATGTAACTAGTTCTATCCTTCAGTGCACCAATAAACCTTCATGGGTTTACTAGCTAGCTGCACATTCCTGACTGACCAAGAGCAAATATTTGGTACTTTCTGTGGTTTTAGGCAGCTGTATGATGCATGTTTGCTGTAATTGTTTATATCATGTTTATATATTGCTTATGTCTTATTTACACCATTTTTAGTCTGTCTAGCTGCTTGGCTCCAGGGACAGCAATGTCAGCCTGTCGATCGATAGGTTGCTTGGTCCAGACTGAAATATGTTTTGGATGGATGTAATGACATTTGGTGCAAACATTCATGTTTTCTAGATTATGCATGTTTAGTGATCCCCTGAATTATTCTCTAGTTCCATCAGGAGGTCAGAGGTTTATTTTTGGTCTATAATGAAATGTCTATGGGATGGATTGGCATGGAATTTCACGCAGATATCAATGTCTCCTCAGGATGAATTGTAATATCTTTGGTGATCCATTTTAATGTATTGCCATCATCAGGTCAAAATTTTATTGGTTGTGTAGTGCAAGCTGCAAGCAGGTACAAATGGTCAGTACTTTGGTTTATGACCAAATACCTGCCAAACATCAGCCTCAGCTGTACTTTGTGTTTAGTGCTAATTAACAAATATTATCATGCTACCACGCTAGAATTAGATTGTATACTATTAACCTTACTAAGCACTAACTTACTAAGGACTTTATTACTTTTTTCCAACTTTAAATTGTTTCCCCAAAGGAACTCTTTTTCTAGTGGACTGAAAAAGCAATTGATTTTATTATAATTATAGTAAAAAAAAAGTTAAATTCTCATGTACAATTTATGTAATAAAAGATCGATACTTGCCGTTTGTGTATTGATACAGTATTGCCACCGAAAATATCGCAATACTATGCTGTATCGATTTTTTACCCCACCCCTAGTGGTAAAAGTTACATTGTCACCTAAATTGCAACTGTTCTATGTTACTAGGAAAAGTCATAATCAATCATAATACATAAACCCTTTGCCTGGCAAGTCAGACACATTTTAGTTAGTGGTCATGACTTGTGATGTACAGTCCTCCCTGCCGCAGAAATAACCCTGCCAATAAAATGTGTGTAATTAAAAGATTGAACAGCAGGGCTTAATAACAACATACTGACACACTGTCACTGCTCCACAGGGTAGAAAATAGAAAGCATACACCCAATTGGCTCATTCAGATCAAATTAAATCAAGTCAAATCTACTTTTATTGTCTAAAACACAACCGTACACAGTACAACATATAGAAAAATCTGTTCCCTGCATTTAATCCATACTAATTAGCAGCACGGTGGCCTAGTGGATATGATAATGTATAATTTATACCGTATATAGATTATTTGGGTGTTTTCTTAGACAGCTCGTTTTTCCTGTGCTCTATCTGTATAACAGAGGCACAGAAGGGCGTAGAGAGGGTTTCTTTTTTGATCTAGAGCGACAGAGAAACAAAGACAGAGAGACAGAGTTTAACATCCATATCATGATATTTGTTAAGCCTTAAATAAAAACATATTGTATGCTGCAAATTACTGATCCTGATGTACTGTAGGTCTCTTCTCTGAACATCGTCTGCAACAGCTTCACTACTATAGGTAAGAATTTCCTTGGGATAGGCTGAACATGTTTAGTTTAATTATTTGATGGCTAAACTGAATTGATTTGTCTTGAATTGAATTTGAGTTGTTACTTAAGTGATGTTATAAGGCAAGAAGAGGCTCTGTGCTGCCTCGTTAAATCAGGGGAAGCTATCTGAGGTACCAGACCAGGTCTACCTAAAAACTGCAGCACATACACACTTACATGTGTTGCTTACACAGTGCCCTATGGCTGTACCATCACAGGGCACTGTGGTTTGCTAAACTTTGTAACAACCAAGCTGGTTATCACCAGGGCATCAGTCAGCCGTTTCAAGATAAAGTATCTCTGAAAGAGGGTACCTGCTAGGAACCTCAACAAGTCTTTTGAACAACTGTTGCTGAGTTAGCACTTGTTTGTGTGCAGTACTTCACCAGCTTTTCTTCTTTGTAGATGCCTGTAGTGTCAGAAAGAGACAAATAGACTAAGAGATGGTGAATCACAGATTTGAGAAGCGATTTGTTACCACGGAGTGAGTGAGGTGAAACAACCACTTTTTCAGTGTCCGAGTCTTTTAATGTGGAAATGCCACCACACAGTCGAGCTGAAAGAATAAACTCATGCGTCATAGACGCCATAAGAACACATCAGATCAACACATTATTATAGACTACCCCTGTAGACATTATGGGGCGGCTGTGGTTCAGGAGGTAGAGCGGGTTGGCCGTTAATCGGAAGGTCGGAGGTTCAATCCCTGGCTCCGTGTCGAAGTGTCCTTGGGCAAGATACTGAACCCCGAATTGCCCCTGGCGGCTGTTCCGCCAGTTTATGAGTGAGTGTGAATGTTAGTTTCCGTTTGAGCACTTAGGCTCAGTGTATGAATGTGTGTGACTGGTGAATGCAGATGTAGTGTAAAAGCGCTTTGAGTGGTCGAAAAGACTAGAAAGGCGCTATACAAGTACGGAGCATTTACATTTACATTCACACCATCGCTGATTTTCCATCCTCCTGTGTGTGTCCCTGCAGCCGTGCTACTTAGACTGTGTCTGTTTGTCTAATGTTACAGTGGACTTGTTCATGTCTGCCATTGGTCATCTGCTGCTAACACCGCCTCTGTGAACATGCTCATGTCTGGATTGGAGAACCCTGGGTTGACTTACCGAGTTGAGCGTGACCACTTATCCCGATCCTGATTGTCAGGGTTAGTGAAGCCAGAAAACGAAAAGATATCCTGGGTATGTTGAACTTGCTTCGTGGTACAGGCCCCAGGAACTGCTCGCAGCCAAAGCAGCGGGACTCAGATTTGACAAAATGTAAACAAGAATTATATAGGCTAAAACAGACGCTGTAGATAGTTCAATAATAAGACCTTTAGGAAGTTAAGCCTCAATAACTTTTCATCAGTTTTCATCAGATAAGTTGTGCAGTACAGGATAAAGCCTGACTGATGTTACACAGCTGTTATTTCTACCTCATGGTCTGATATCCAAGCCTGGCGCCTCGGTGACTTGGGAGTAGAAGGGAGACATTTCACAAACATGTCAAACTTTATACTCATCTGGGCCTCCTCCCATTGCATTTCACAACCTCCAGGTTTTAAAGCCCCTTCTCTGTCTCATTTCTTTGATGGGTGCTTTATTTTTTGATTAATTCTGGTACATGGTTAAAATATTATGTTATTTTGCATAGTTTGCTGGCAGCTAAGCTACACATTTGTTTAAAATGTATTAATGACATAAGAAAAGAGTTTAACACAGGAAATGAAGTAGTCTAGACAAATAGAAAGTCCAGTCTAGGACCTTCTCGTTACAGGTATAAATCCAAATACAGACATCTTTGTGAAATAAACACATACAGTTACCAGCTTTACATTACACCCCTACTTTTTCACAGTCTCCACAGATTTCCAGTGCCTTCAGTGAAGTTTGAAACGTACATTTCTGTAAATGTTCTTTTTTGTTTTGATCATAAACATTCACAGGTTAAGCACCACGATGCTCCCCCATGTGTCCCCCAAGTGAAGGTCAGAATAGTACCCAGTGTTTATACAGACACACTTTTTAGTTCATGAACTTTTATCCTTGAATACACGCAGTCCAAAAAGGACATCGAATACTGTTTGGATATATTGTTTACCCTCAGACAAATATTAATAGAAGTGGAGTCAAAGGGCAGGTACTGTATGAACACACAGTAGTGGATAGAGAAGAATCCATTGATACTGTATACAGTATATTAAATAAATAGTTCACACTCAATAAGTAACACAGAGTGTCTTTGTGAGTTCCTTCCAGTCAGCTAAAGAGAGGAGACAGACATGGTTGGAAGCTGGACAAATATAATCTGATTTATAAATAGCCTAACCAGGACACACACATACTCACACACACAGGCTAGGGAACAAACATCATTTTGACTGTCTACCTTAACTCACTGAGACAGTTGCCAGTACAGCTAATATATTTACCTGGTGTGTCATCCTGCAGAGGTGATTTAGGAAGGCAAACAAAAAATTAGTCAGGAATACACACAAAGTGGAGAGGATAGGGGAGTGAGGGGATTAATGAGGGATAGCCGGGCTTTGATAATGCTGATGTTTTGAGCTGGCGTGTGCTCCCTGAAAGCCCTTTGTTTAGCCCTTATTGCCAGTCGCCATCTGTTATGATCCAGTTGCCAGATTGCCTGGAGCAACATCATCAATCCCCCCCTTTTCATCTGTAAAAGTAAATGCAGCTATTCCTGACTCTGTACCCACCAAGTCAAAAGCTGATATCTGTTCTGACGGATTGTGACTCCTGTGTAACCCCGAGGGTTCTCTGTTGTCATGTTGGCCACTTCCCACTCCTCAAAGGAAGTAATGACCTGTCCTTGCCTCAGTGCATCTCCAAAATAGACCACCACACACATGAAGATGTGGACATCTCTGCCACACTGAGGCTTAAGTGACAGATTATACTGTGAACATACAACTGCAGTTGGTATCCTACTTTGTTGTTGTGCAGATTAACATTGCAGCACTGACTGTGAAACAGGTCTTATGCACTGTGATGTTACCCTGACACCCACACTAACACACCGCAGTGTACTTTGTGATCCCTGCATATTTATATCTGAACTGCTCAAAGGTTGATTTTCTCTTTAACATTCATCTGGCGTTCTCTTCACTCCTCTCTTTATTCATTCACCTCCTCACCTGTTCCTTCCTTCCCTTAATTTCCTTCATTAAATTCAATCCACACGTCCTTCTCACCTCTCTGCGTCCCTTTCTGCTGACACCTCATCTCCTTCTCTGTCGATCAGGCCGAGCCAGTCTGCACGGCAAGTCCTCCCTGCGGATAGAGAATGTGCGTTCAGACGACCAGGGCTGGTATGAGTGTAAGGTGCTGATGCTGGAGCAGCAGTATGACACCTTCCACAATGGCAGCTGGGTGCATCTAACTGTCAACGGTAAGTACCATCAGCATGCATCATTCATACTCTTATAAGATGGAAAGACCGGTAGAGAAACAGATATGTATTCAGAAGGTACATCTGTAAACTGATATATTATTACACGGGTATATTGACTTTTTGTAAAAAATATACATTATCAAGCCTTGGAAATGATACACTGGTTGTCTTTGGGAATATTATGCAACATCTGGTTATCTGATTCTAGAGACATGAGTATGATTATAATAATGATGATAATTAGTCTTATTATTAACAGCTGTGGCATTAGCTAGTAAAGATGGGCCTCTTGATTTGATCACATCCCAAAATTTGGATTTAGACTGCCGCCATTCAGTCGAGGGCTGCCCTCCTGACTACAGGCTGGCTTTTGCTTACAGCAACCATTTTAACCGTAAACACATCTCTATCAATAACTTTCACAGCTATAAGATGTTTATGTTTAAAATCAACTGTCAAAAACCTGTCTGCTGTATTTAAATTCAGCCCCCTCCCCCCCAAAAAAACAAAAACAAATAATAGCTTTTTAACAGAATTTTCTGAATTTCTCTCCTCCATTGTCCTCAACCATGATAGAATTGTTATTGTAGGAGATTTTAATATCCACATTGATGACCATCTAACCATTTTACCTCTGAATTCATTAAAACCTTAAACATTACAAACCTGATGCAGCATGTCTGGTTTCACTCATAACTAAGGCCCCGAACTTTACCATTTACATTTACTGAATTTAAACTCCCTGTCATTGATAGACCTTGTCTCGGATCACAAATTTGTTCTATTTGAGTACTCCATCCAGGCAAACTCTCCAATTCTGAAGCAATCAGGATGTTCTCTTAAAGTTCAAAAGTCTGAAGTTCTCACCGTCTTCCCTGATTTATTTATTTGCCTAATTCAACATTAATGCATTAATGAACTGGTCACTGCCTCCAGTAACCTGTGTTACTTGGCTATAAATCAGCTTGTACATCCTGCACCACGGCAATCTCTGCCACATCAATTGAAGATTGTAAATTGTATTTATCATTTTTTTCAACAAAATCAACAGTATCAGATCCAACACTGTGCCCCCGTTCTCTTCTGACCTATCTAGTAATGTTCCAAATTTACTTAGCCAGATTGCCCCTGTTACCATGCACAATCTCAGTGAGACAGTTACTCATCTTGGTTGTGTCCTCGATCAGTTTAAGACAGCCCAGTTACTTTAAAAGAAAACCTGGCCTTGATCCATCTGTTACAAACAATTTTAGAATCCCATAAAAAAAATGACCTTTCATTGGTACTGGAAAAACTGGTCGCTGAGCAGCTCCTTCCAGGTTATTGAATATTTTTAGTACCAAAGGTTGCGGGAACATTCCATTTTAGTTCTACTCGATGTAAGCGCAGGCTTTGATACCACTGATCATTCCGTCCTCATCAATACACTTAATAGATGCGTTAGTATCCAGGGATGGGCAGTATTTATGATACATGTATTTCAAATATGTAGTTCAAATTACAAAATAGGATTTTGTAATATGTATTTGATAGGGTTGATGAAAATGGCTTCATATTTTGTATCAAAGCACTGTTTTGTATTTTGTAGTTTAAAAATACTGTATAATAAGTAGAACTTAATGATATCGTAAAAATACTGCCTCTGATTGGTGTCTACTGAGTAATATGAGACTTGTTGGGAACAGAACAGAAAATTGATCCAGATCCGAAGAATAAGGTCAAGGTAAGAAAAGTGTAGGTTGCCAGCTTTCCATCCTTTTTTAGCATAAATTGCTAAAATTCCTGTTAAGTTTTGTTGTTTGTTTTAGTAACCGAGGCGAAATAGTTTACCTTTTTACGTAATGTTCTAGCTAACTATTTGACCAGAGTAGCAGCCCTCAGAGTTAATGTTAGCTTGCTACTTTCAACTTTTGCTAAGTTTTGTGCATAAAAAAAGCGTTTCAGAGTTGTTGTACAACATTATTTTAGAATGCCACAAGATGGTGTAACTTGTTTAATGAACACATGGACCTTATTGTCATAAACAACATTGTGCTGCAACACCATTAAACAGCAGGTTGTCAACCCATCCACCACTTGTGTTTGTTGTAGCTCAGATGAAGCAAAGTAGACCCTATGTTACCAAACACCAACTAACTGAATCAGAATACAATTAGACATCATTTGCAAACTTTTAGTTAGACATTAAAATGTTTGTTACTGTAAAACTACCCTTCATCAGGGTAATCACAGGGATATGTGAATATGAGAAAAGCTGTTGCTCTCAAACATTGTGTACTTAATCAGATGAGCGAGTGTACTGGTGAAGGGATAGATCAAATAGGCTGATAGAAGATGATTTCATAGTACCTTGGAAATGTATTTTTATTTTGTTGTGGCTGCTATATTTTGTAGGTTATATTAATACATTTTAAATTAGGGTATTTGGTATCTTCTTTTTAGATACATTTTGATCTATCTTTGCCCATCTCTGTTGGTATGTCAGACAAAGCCCTAGAGTGTTTTTTGTCAAACAGACGCTTTTTGGTCTCAGTGGGTAATTAAAACTTCCTTCAACTTAATTCCGACAAAACTGAGCATCTGATCATTGGCCCTGGAAATGCTACTACAGGCGTTTTCCAGTATACTGGCCCACTCTCCCCCATGTCAACAAGCTGGTCAAATCATGCGTTTTTCCACTCAGAAATACTGCAAAAATCAGACCATAACATTTATCATTCATGCCTTAATGTTTTTCTGTCTCGATGCATTGCCCATTTCACTTGCCTTAGTCAAACTGCTCTGGCACATCTACAGCTTGTACAAAATGCAGCCAAAACCTGTTGGCTATAACGCGCGCCAAACCTTAAACCAATGCCGACTGTTCTTTTGCAGTTCTAGCTGTCATGAGCTGCTGAGTGTGAGGGAAGTGGGCCCAGATGCAGATGCTAGAGTCTCAGATGCTGTTTGATGTATGATTTATTCCAGCAACAATAGAAAAGCCCTCTGGCTTACATGAGGTAACTGCGAGAACAGTCCGAAACACAGATGGCAGTCTAAAAATGCTGCATAAATCCACACAGGGTTCCAAAATCCAAGACAGGAAACAGAAGTCCAAACGGGAAGCTATATACAAACTAACTACGAAACACTCTGAGACACCCGACATATAATGACGACACAACAGGACAATATATACTGAAGCACACCAAACTAGCCACAGGTGGGACACACTAGGAATCAGGACAGACAGGAAACAAAGCTAGACAAAAACACCAGACACAGAAAACTCCAAAATAAATCAGTAAAGTAAAACTCACAAAAACACATGAGGACAAATTTAACAGAATAAAATGGAGAACACAAAATGAATGAACAACTGCCAAAAGCCAAGCTATTACAGACAGAATTTAAATTGCCACTAACATACACAAGAAAAGGCATAACCACAAAAAACACCAGAACACTAGCACCCAGACTGTGGAACAATCTCCCCCCTCCCTTTAGATCAGCTAAGATTGTTTGTGGTGTCTGACTGAACCTCATAATGGTTGTGTCATAACTAGAAGATGAGCAAAACACTGCACCCGCTACCTGCTATGTCACAAACAGGGTCTCTGGAGAAGAGCACCAGACAAACACCTGAGTGTAAAATAAGTAACTGACACACAGTGTAAACACTCACGGGACTCTCACAGAAACTAAGACTATTCTTGCCTTCACTTGGTAGCTCAAGCATTTATCGAGACACTTAATCAGACTGCGTATGATGACGCTAGTTGCTGTGGTAACAGACCAACCCCTCAGTGTTGCTCTTGTTTGGTTTCACTTCGCCTTGCCTCTGCTCTCTCTCCAAGTGCTTAAAGGCCTCAGCCTTCCTCCTCTGCCTCTTTTCTCTTTCTGTATTTATGTCTGTCTCTCCTCGGCTGTCCTTAGTGGCTTGTCACCACATCAGATGTGAGCCGCAGCGCTTTATTCAGTTGTAGTAGTCAGGCAGTCACTGATGTACAGGACACAGCTGAGTGGTTGCTAGTTCTAAGAAGATGTTGAGGTCAGCTGTTGAGAGATGTGCCAAAAAAGGGAGAAGATTGTTTGTTGACTCATATGGGACTGAAATGAGTCCCCCCCCCCACAAAAAAACAAAAAACAAAATCATTGTCAGTGTATTGAACAGTAATGAAAAAAAAAATCAAACATGTATTTAGACATATTCCAAAATGCTTAATCTACAGAGCATTGGTATCAACAATCACAAACTGCAGGTTCACATTATCAGTCCAGTTTTGAAACAGAACAGATTGGGTGGAATCACTATGTCCTCCCTGTGGCATTTATTGAATAGGAATGTGTTTAAGATAATCATGAAGTTAAATGCCTTCTCTATAATATTTGTGGCTGAGTTTCTAGTTTTTTACTAAGATGAAAAAGACAAAGCTAGATGTCAGTGAAGGTGTAGGAAACAGCCAGTGTGGGTGGGAGGTCAATATGAGACCAAACCTACAGTATACCAATAAAACTGAAAGCTAGCTTAGTTCAAAAATAGTAGCCTATAACATGGTATGTGTTGTGGAACTACCCACTGACAAAAGATGGTTGCATGGTTAGATTAAACAGACTAAGACTCATCCTTACTGATCAGTGTATGGAATATTTGCAAGTATGCATGCAGGGCAATGGCAACCACAATGGTGAGTGTGGATGCCATTGCCTTTGTAACAGTGATGGCTAGCCATAAAAACTTTCACAGAATTCGGCTTTATCATCAAAAAGCGTCTCTGAAGATTTAAAAGTTCACATGGAGGACAGGAGGTGGCATGGGAGCATCCTGTATGACAGCAGCTGGCTTGAGTACTGTGGCAGTGTTCCGATTCAGTGACAAGCAAGGCGGGGTTGATGTAGACAAGGCGAGGTGAAATCAAGGTCCTTTGATAGAGAGACAGTAGTGAAGCGGTGGCAGGTTCAGGGGACCTGGGCCTTAGGGAGTCCCTGCCGCGTTACTGATTGCTGATGTCATCCTC